ACAGCAGGCGATGGAAACCGCCTGCACATCCAGCTACTGTTCTTGGGAACGGCAGTGCTAATTTTTCGTCAGTCTTTTCTGGCCACTCCAGCAACTATTGCACCCAAATGGACCACTGCTTACGTCCACCCTGCAAGCAGAGCTCCTGCTGGCTGCCCCACAAGCTGCACAATCGCAATGGTATCATCCAGCACAGGACAATTTGCGTTGGACCTCAGGAGGTCTCCAGTCCAACCTCTACCTCCAAGCAGGATCAGCCCAGATTGCTCATCATTTTATCCAGTCTGGAGAAATGCTACATCCCTTTGTGTAAGTCTTTAACACATCCCATGCTCACACCATCCAAATAAGCTGCCAATAGTTTTTCAAAGTCACGAATATTTGTGCAAAAGCCCTAATGCAGGCACGTGCACACAGCCAGGCTATGTGAGGCAACCCAGTTCTTCACAGAGCTGCATGGGTACCCCACTGATGGGAAACGGGATGGGTCTGTGCTGCCTGTCCCCCATCCCACAACTTGTAAATATTCACGCGAGCCCACTGAGGTCAAACAATACTGCTGTCTGCTGAACTGCCTTGAAGGCTTTCATTCCTGCTGAAATCACAAGAAATTCAGATTAGTTTCAAGCACAAGTAACCGAATACATGTCGTAACCTCAGAGAGGGGAGCCTACTCTCAGAGCGTACAACAAGCGTTTTGCAGAATCGCTTTTAGGTAGCAACACGACTATGGGTGGTTTATGAAGGGGAGGAAGCAGCAGATGTCAACACCTCCAGACTTCCTGATAAGGCTCCCTGATGCAAGATACCCAGGAGAAGGCTGGGGACCCTCAACAGAACCACTCTAGAAACACACAGGAAGGAAAAAAAAACAAATGAAACATTCATGACTTCTGGTACACCCTAAAAACTGCCACACAGACTACCTTTAAATACCTTCAGCAAGCTTGCTTAAAAAATGGCTCACATACAAGAGAAGACCCCCATCCCAGTTACATCCAGCTACTGTGGGAAAGCCGCCATATGTGGCGAAGGGTGGTTTTGTTTTCTGCTGCCTATTTCCAGCGTTTGACATTTTTTGCAGCCCCTTGCCAGCACTGCATCTCCTGGTGCCGGGCTGGCCCGCTCCCCTGGCGGGGCTCTGCTGCTCAGCAAAGGCGGAAAAGAAGATACTTTTATAGTAACACATTCCTCTCCAAAAAAACAAACCCGGAGGGTCCCGGTGACCTGGCACAGGCAGCTCAGGCACTGACGGCCTGACGAGAGGGGTGCCCGGGCCCCACCGGCTGCTTCCCGGTGGGCTGCGGCCCCTCGTCTCGCCACGC